CCAGCCCTATTTCATATTTTATTTGGAGATAGGGTTTCACTGAGTTGCTTAGTGCCTCACTTTTGCTGAGGCTGGCTTTCAACTCATGATCCTCTTGCCTCAGCCTCCTGAGCTGCTGGGATTATAGGCACATGCCACTGTGCCCTGTTTTATTGAGTCTTTTGAGACTTTCTTTTTTCTACCAATAGACTCACTATTTAATTACTTGTTGCTTATATTTACTCACTTTGGCTTTTCTGTAATATTCCACCATGAGAATGGTCTACAATGTATTTATTCACTTTCCTGTTCATGGGGACTTGTGTGTTTCCGGGGTATGCAAAGGAACGGCTGTGAGGTTTTCTTTACATGCTCTCTGGTGTGTGTAAGCAAGAGATTTTGCCACCGAGGAGTGGATTCTTTGGGCCACAGTGTTTATGAATGTCCAATTTTAAGAATTAGTGCCAAAGTGTTTTCTAATGAGATTGTACCAATTAACATTCCCACAATCAATACATGGAAGCAATCTTGTGGATCCATATCCTCTCCAACATTTGGCATTGTCAGATATTTAGATTTTTGGTAATTAAGTAGGCATAATCATTGTGGTTTTGATTTGCATTTCATTATCTCTTGAGGCTTTTTATAAATTAACTGGTCATATTTTCCCTTCCAGGACATGGTGGTCCACTACTTTTGTCCATTTCCCCCTTCTTTTGTTTATACTTTTCTTACTGATTTTTTGTGCATCCTTTTATTTATTTTTTGGTACTAGGGATTGAACCCAGGAGTACTTAACCACTGTGCCACATCCCCAGCTTCCCCCGCCCCGCCCAACCCACCTTTTAAAAAAATTTTTTAAACAGAGTCTTGCTGAGTTGCTTAGGGCTTTGCTAAGTTGTTGAGGCTGGCTTTGAACTTGTGATCCTCATACCTCAGCCTCCCAAGCTACTGGGATTAGAGGCATATGCCATTGAGCCCAGCTCTTTATGCATCCTTGATATCAGTTCTTTGTTGGTTATATTTTGTGAATCTCTTTTCACTTTCTTTATGGTGGCTTTTGACAACCAAGTGCTCTTAGTTATAATGCAGTCAGAGTTATTCATCTTTTTTATAGTTAACACTTTGGGGACTTCATTTAAGTAATTCTTTCTAATTTCAAATCTAACATATCATCTCTGCTTTCTACTAAGACTCTACCTATCATTTTCTCTTTTGAAACAATCAAGCGCAGGGAGCAAATCTGAACTTCTTTGGGTTTTTGCTAGTTGGTGGCAGATTAGACTTGGGGTGAAGTCATGCTTTCTATGACTTGAAATATATTTTTGGTGCTCCCTGGGTCTTTTTCATTTAAAAGGGGTCACCTCTGGTGGTGTTTCTAGACTTTACCTCATGTTGTGTCTGCAGTCACAAAATGGGGTGGGTCCTTCATAAAGGTCATGGATTTTCCTTGCATTTCCAGGGCTCCTGGGATGAGGTAAAGGGTATTATTTTTATGCCTATTGGGTTGTGCTGGTTCCTCTGGGCTGATGACAGCAGGGAGCCCTGAGGGGCAGCAGCTGTGCAAAGCATGGGTGTCCGGGTTGGCCAAAGTCTCCCCATATGCTGGGACATTTCTGCAGCTGTGTATCTCACTGGAAGCAAAGCAAAGCATTGTATTGTAAAGCAGTAGACTGCTGAGCATGTTAAAGTGCATGCACAGAGAAGACACACCCAACCCGTTACTACATGTATCCAGGTAAAGTAGAGCTTGCATCTTCTGAAATATTGGTAAAGGGATGCCCCTGGTTGCTTAAGGTGGGGAGGGTTCCACAGAGAAGTGATACAAAAATAAGCAAGAGCCTTCTACCTATCAGCCTCAGAAGCCCCTTAGCTGCAAGCTCAGCATCTTGCAGGTAGCTCAGTGTTGTATTCCCGTCAAGGGAAGTCTTGGATCAGTTAGATAGAGTTACCCCTGCTTCTTTTTTTCTGGGTCTGAGTTGTAACTAGGGAATGTGGGGTTGAGATAGAACTGAAGTTCACAATGCTACTGCCTCTGATCATGTCATCTCCTGTCATACTAAGAATTACTGTCCTCCCCCTAAAGGCTATGCTTTTAAATGTTGGTGGCTGCCTGAAAGACACAAGTGTATTGGCCACAAGGGTGCTGCAAACCAGGGGGCATCCTCACTAGGACTGCAGAATGCAGAGGCACCCCCGTGGGATATGGGGCATGGCTTGCTCCCTGCAGCATGCCTTCCACCTTTCCTGTTGCCCTCTGCCTTGTGATTCAGCCTGTGGTTCCCCTTCCAACTCCTGGCCCTTATTTCAGTGTTTGTTGCGATGCCGACCCACAGCTCCACAGACTCTTCAAGTAGATCAGGTGGCCCTCACAGGCTGGGACCAGAGCTCCTCATCACCCACTGTGTATTTTTTCCAAATAGAAGAACCCATCCCATGTCTGTTCCAGGCTGAAACCAAAATTTGAAGGAAAATGCACTTTGGTTTGTGAGTCCAATGTCACATTTTCCATTTTTGGCAAGCGTTCACCTCTTCTGGTTTGTATGCACCTCATAAAATTCATTGCAGGCTGCCAATTCTTTGTCTTCATTTTTGCAGTGCTGCATGACGGACCCCAGAGAGCCTGAGCCCACTATCTGCATTGTGAATCTGTAGGTGCACACTTCACTTTGTCTTCCTGTGTCGAGGGCCTTGAACCACCAGGCGTGCTGACAAGTGCCCCACAGGGGCCCAGGGCCAGGAAGATTTGCTTTGGCTTTCTCCATAGCCTCGCTCTCCATTGGAGTTCCATTTGCTTCTATTATTGGGGTCCAGGTGGGGAATGAAGCTCCCACTTTCAGGAACTTGCCCAGCCCCACCCACAGCTTCTTTCCTGGAAGTGCTCAGTCCCCAGGAGGCCAACTGGAGCACTCATTCCTTAGTGTTTGTTCCACCACTTTGAGCAGAACAAGGGGTGATCCAGGAGAGCAGTTTCTCCAGAGCTTCCCTTCTCTGAGGCCATCATGCCCAGGTCAGGAGATTCTGGTCAGGACCCTGATGGACTACCCTTGTGCAGAGGGAACGGCTTTTGGCGATGGGAAACAACTCTCCATCTTTTGGCTCCTGGAGTGATCTGGCACAACATCCTCCCGTCTCTGACACATCCCCTCCATTCAACCTGGCATCTGGGAAGTGCCTTTTTCTTTTCAAGCACAGAGGGCCAGTATTTAACATGACATTAGCCTGCTGCAGTATTGAGTTAACCATAAAAAGAGATGATCTTTCTGGACAGAATCACTATCCACCAGACAAAATGATTAAATTTACAGCTCAATTGGTGCTGATCAATATAAATGAAATGTGAAACAATTTAATGTTTCCTCCAGAAACATCAGTCCTGAGGTTGTCTTCACACAGGCATCCCAAGACATTAGCTCCACACTAGGGAGTCTCTGTACTTGTGAGATTATCTAAGTGCACCATTTCTCTTTCCTTTCAAACTAAATATTGAGTCAGGATCAGCTGGGTTATGCAGCAATAACAAACAACCCCCAAGTTCAGTGGCTTGAATTGGCAAAAGTTGATTCCTCATTGTGCTGCTGCATGTTTAGTGCTGGCCAACAGGAAGGCTCCCATCAGAGACACTCAGGAACTGAGCTGGCAGAACACTCACTATTTTGAATGTTGCTGGTCTTCATAGTAGAGGAAAAGAGTACTTTGAAGGGCCTTGTGCTGGCAATCAAGTCTTGGACTAGCTGGTCATGGTAGTGTATGCCTGTAATCCCAGTGACTTGGTAGACTGAGGCAGGAGGATTGTAAATTTGACGATACCCTCAGAAACTTAGGGAGGACCTGAGCAATTTTGTGAGACCCTGCCTCCAAATAAAAAAATGAAAAGGACTGCGGGCATAGTTCAGTGGCAGTTTGATCCCCAGTACCAAATAAATAAATAATCTCAGACTAGAAGTGGTGCATGTCCTTTCTGTCTGCAACTCATGGGCCAAAGCTATGACTCCAAACTGTCATAGGATGCCAGAAAGTACAGTCTATCTTGTGCCTGGTCAGTGGAGAATAGAGGTATTTGGTGAACAGTATCATTGGCAACCACATTTGTTTGAACTTCAGGTATAAAAATATGGCTAGATTTTAAACAAATCTATGGGATCTGGCTATTTAATGGGATCCTGTCATAGAATGAAGAATAATAGGTGAGTGTGTTAATGCATACCTGCAATCCCAGCAACTCTGGAGGCTGGGGCGGGAGAAGCACAAGTTTGAACCCTGACAATTAAGCAAGATACTGTCTCAAAATAAAAAATAAAAAAATATAAAGGTCCGGGGATGTAGCTTGGTAGTAGAGTTCTCCTAGGTTCAATTCCCAGTAATGCAAAAACAAAAACAAACAATCCCCCCCAAAAAAACCCAAACAAAACAAAAACAAACAAACAAACAAAAAAACCAACACACACACACACATACACACACACACAAAAAAAAAAAAAACAAAAAAAACAAAAAAAAAACCAAAAAACAAAAAACAGAAAGCTCCCAGGATATGTCAGTTTCTTTAAGACATGCAACTTGCCCCCAAACCCATAGATTTCTAAGACTCTAAGGAATCTTTGAAGAAAGAGGGTAGAGGGCCCCAGCTTCTCTCGAAATTCTCTCTTCAAACTAGCTGCTGCAAAGCCAGCAATAGTAAGTGCACCTTGATGTATAATCTCCAAGTAGACAAATGCATTGTGCAGTTAATTTAAAGCAAGAGGGGAGAGCATAGTTCTTGTTTATACAACGACCACCTCTCTATCAGGATCCAGGCATCGGGCTCCTTTTACTCTTGCCACTGTGAAATCCTTTTGTCTGTAGGGGAGGCTGCGCAAGTGGTTTTCTCTGTTCACTGTGGCCTCAGCCAGGTGCCCTGGGCTATCCTCCATGCTGGGAGACATCCAGTCAAGAGTACAGCTGGTGTGAGGGAGCAGGAGCCTTGGCATCCACGCTGCAGTGGGCACCGAGGCTGAACACTCATACATGGCTGTAGAAAGGTTATTTCAAAGGTGTTTTTTATTCAACTGTTATTTAGCAATATACAATACAGTTTATAAACAAGTGTCTGGCCTTGTTTCCAATCTTTATTTAAAAATAAATATTATTGACAGTGAATTTTAATTATGATGTCTTTTTTTAATCAAAATGTCTCAAAAGAAATAATTTAATAAAAAAGAAAAGCCCCCAAAGAAAAAGTAAATTAAAAAAAATCCTAAACACAATAATCTACTAAAAATATTTTGCTTTGTCAGAAAGGCTTTAACCCAACATTTTTACATATTATCCTAAAGATAACTGCTCAACAGTTCGTGCAAAATGAAGACTTGGAGGGAAGGTGTAGAAAAGAAAAATATGTTGAAGTAGAGAAATCATTGATCCCATGCTCACTGCATGGTCCAAACTCCATCTTATTTGGAAACTAGATGCATTATTTTGGGTATTCTACATTTGTGTGACTTTCCCAAAAATATGATTTATTTATTTTCTGCGTGGACTTCTTCATGCTTTTCTCAGTCTCTCTGTGTCCATCTGGCGACGTGGTCCTCCCTAGGGGTGCAGGCAGGTGGTGTGTGCCTGCTGAGGTCTTTGGGTGCCACGTCTGTCAGTGCCCCAGGAGCAAGTGCAGGCACCTATGCAGGGCTAACAGGAGCAGGGACAGGAGCGGGTCTGTGGCGTAGCTGGGGCCGGTTCCTGCAGGGGATGAGAAAACAGGCTCGGTTAACCCTGGATTCACAGGAATCTGGCATCTCATAAGCAGACCAGGAGAGAGTGAAACTTCCAAGGCTTTTTGATCTCAGCTCCTGGCCGGAGGCTGCACATGTGGCTGCTTCAATTTCATGATAAAGCATTTTGTTGCTGCCACTGCTTGTTATTTATAGACCACACATTTCAGGAGCCTACTGTGGTCAGACACAAGGTGCCCCTGGCCTAAGGGGGATGTGCTAGATTATAGCTCTAAAGTCCAAGTCATTATCTTATTTTAATAGTTTGCTTTCTCTGCACTGAGTACTATCTATGCTGCAAAATGTCCTCAATAATGAAAACCTAGCTTCCCCTCCTCTTCCAGGAAGATGCCATGATTGCACACAATTCTACCCTTGCTGTGACTCCACTCTAGTTCCCTGCCTAAACTACACAGCTCAGTGTTCCCAGAGGCCCTGCCATAGGCAACCTGAGTTTTATGTGTGAATCTTCTTTCCATAACCACATTGTCAGTCCATCCCTCGAGCAGCAATGGGGAACTCAGAAATCACTGGATGGTGAAGGTGAGTGAGCTACCGTCTTTGAAAAATGACCCTAGCACTCTTAGCACTTCTACCTACTTCTCCAATGCAACCATTAATCTGGGTCCCTGGCCTGCCTCTGAGGCCTTAACACCACACGTTCATCCTGCCTCACCAGGGCCACTTGCCCGGCTCCCTATTAGTCCTCAGCGTCTCCAGTGTTGCAAGGCCTCCTGTGAACCAGGGAAAGCCCACCCATGAACCTCAGGCTTCTCACCTAGGAAGTGGGATGCTCCCTCCAGGGTTGAGAGTAGCAAGAGTACAAGCACCATACACACTGCTCTTGGGTGCTGTCTAAACCCTAGGGAGCCTCACTGCTAACTGACTCAGCGTCCGGCCCAATTAAGGGAAGCGATTTCCTGCTCCACCCTTCTCACCTGTGCCACCTGGAGGCCTTTCTCTTTCCTTCACCCACTCAGCCAGAGGGGCTGGAGCTCTGTACCTAGGAGGGGTTGCAGAAGGCCCTTTTTTGTATAAACATCGTATGGTGCAGAGGGTGCGACCACCTTCACTCAGCTGCCTGTGGAAGCTGCTGCCAGGGTGGCCTGTCCCTCCAGTCTCACTCAGTGTGAATTTGTGGCTTCCCTAAAAACCCTGGGCCTGGAAGTATGACTTTCTCTCTTCTGCAGGTAAAAGCATTACTGGTCTTTTCTATCCAACATGTTTCCTCCACTCCCTAATCATTCTTGCTCTGCCCATGGCTGGCTGTGTCATGGAGTTCATGCCTTGAGCCTCTTGTTTCCCCTTTGTAAAAGGAGAGGGTTGGACAAATGTTCTAGCTTGAAATTCCAGGATTCCCTCTGTCCATTTTGGTAAGTAGGGGCTGTTTTCAAACCTCTGAATGAAAAGGGGATAGGGGCTATCCACTTTGCACATGTCTCATCCAGAGCTAATTGCTTCTGTGCACAGCTCTGAGCTCCCGCTGAGAAGTGCAAGGACAGGACAGATCCAAATGTGCTAACCTTCCTCTTCAGATCTTAATTTTCCAGACAGTTGTCACTCCTGGCCCTCCTACAGCTTGGCTCAGGATGCCACTCTGCCTCTGGCCATCCGTCAGCAGAAAGAATCGCAGTGCGGTGGTCACTCCAAAGACTCTGATTCTGCTTTGCTGCTCCTCACTGTCACGCATCACTGGGAAGGACGAGGTGATGGGCGAGTTGATGGATGGCCAGGTGCCTGGGTGGAATTCACCGAGGCTCAGATGTACAGAAAACAGGGATCTGGCCAGAAAAGCAGAGCGCTGCCTCGTGGGCACATAAGGCCTGTGAGATCAGACCAAGCCCAAGGGTCTCCCTGATCTTCTTCCTGGCTCAGATCTTTATGCTCCTGCAAAACCCTGACACTTGAGCAGGTGCAGGTGAGACAGAAATAACTCATGTGAGGTATTTAAAGGTGGATGCTTATGCATAGCACTCTCGACTCTCAAGGTACGCAGTGGCAGTAAAATAGTGAGCCCGCAAGGTAAAGCTGGCCGGGTGGCCTGGTTGGAGTGATGGGCATAAGAGAGGCAAGGAGACATTCATATTTGCCTCCAAGTACCACTGACTAGTCACTGCCACTATTATAGTCTCACCTACGCAAGCTTAAAAGTTTGAAAATTGTGCAAGACTTTCCAAAGACCTTAAACAACCAGCCTGCCACTCTTCTCTGAAACAAGGAGGAAGCAGCAGGGCCAGTGGTGGCTCCAGAACCCCCGGGAGGGGACACTAGGATCTATGGGTTCTTTGCTATGTCTGTCACAGGATGACTACAGTTTGGCTCCTGGATAGAACCTCATTCACTTCCTGGCCTAGTGTTGCCATGGGGGTTGGCAAGAGAGGTGGTGTGGGGCAGTAGGCTTGTCCTGGGTAGAGGGGCTTCTAAGCCTAGCCTTGTTGCCAGCTTGCTGTGTAATCCCAGGAAACTCTCTTCATCTCTCTGGTTCTAGTGTCACACTCCATAAAATGAGGATGTGTATGGGCCAAGTGTCAGAATAAGCCATATTTTAGCAGTAAATTGCAAGATGGCCACAAGAACCCCTCTGATAGTGCCCTCCTGTGCTCACTCTGGGTTTGACTATAGGATCTGCTTTAGCCAAAAAAATATGATCAAGTATGAAGCAAGCAAAAACTTGAAAAATGCTCGTGCATTGAGGACTCCCCTCTCACTCACAGCTCTTGAAACCCGCTGCCATGAGATGAAGCCTGGATCAGCTGATGAAGGATAAGAGCCATCAGGTGTCCTAGCTGAGGTCCCTCTAGACCAACCATCCCCCAGTTGACTCGATACCAATTGCATGGATGAACTCAATATAAGACCAGGGAGCTCATCCCAAGTCACTGAACTTCAGCACTGTGAGCTAAATAAATAGTTACAGTGTTGTGCCCAAGCCACTGAATTTTGGGGTTCTTTGTTACACAGCAAAGGCTAACCCATACAAGCATGGAAGCAAAAGAGCCTCAAATAGGATAAAAAGCCACACCAATCAATGTTGTAGAAAAGGGTGACGTAATTACTTCTCTGTAAAGGGTTGGAGAAAAACTACTTTTGGTGATGTCCTTCTCTCAAGAGGAAACTTTATTCTAAGATAGAACAGGCAGGCAGACTATCTCCTCGATCACTAATTTTGAGACATCCCTGGTTCTCTGGTGAAAGACAGACCCTGGATGTGGAACCTTCTCCTACCTCATTCACCAGGCAAACAGACACTGTCTTTAAGTTTCCCCAAAGAACCAGGGCAAACAAGGAAGACTGGCTTTGGGGCCTCCCTGAAGGAAGTGGGGTGTTGCTTCTTTCTTTGAGGGAGATTGACTGTTGTCTAGCACTTGGCTATGGGGGTCCCCTCTGCATTTGGATCCTGATTCCAGGAAATAGTGAATTTCCTGAAGGCAGCTAGGGCTATCAGCAATACTTGGGCTGACAGGTCCCAGCTCACCTTACCCCTCTGGGGCCAGCTGAGGTTTGGCTGAGCTGAAGTGGGGTCTCCTTTTTACCCCGTGGCCTCTTTTCCAATATGGCATGGAGACATCTGTGCTCCAGGGCATGAGGCTGAGCAGACTGGCTGCTGGTGGAGGCTGCTGTGTTGACTGGATGCTAACTGTCTCCTTATCTATCTCCTCCTTTCCCAAGGAGTGCCAGGAATAGCCTGGAAGAGCGCTGGAGCAGGCAGGAGTTGGTCACGATGAAGCTGGAAAATGAGCTGCTTGGGAGGTGAGGGAAGTCCTCTGACAGAGAGAGTCGCTGATTCACTCTGTACATGAAACCAGCCTCTCCACTTTGCTAATCATTCTTACAGAAATCAAAGCCTCTTTGGCTTAAGATTAAGACATCCATCAAGATATTAATTTTTATCATTTAGATAGCGAGGACAAGAGACACACTGGAGCCATTTAAAAGAGAACCCGAAAGAACACAATGGGGACATTTATTCCCCTCTTTTCCCTCCCTCTCGGTCCAAGAAGCTTCTGCCTGGGAAATTCCTTATTTCCATTTATTCAATAATTGCAGAATTCTAAAGCCCTACAGAAAAGAATATAGAAGTTTTGAGGCCCTTTAATGCATTGAGATAAAAGTAAATGAGGAGACTCTGTTCAGGCCACACTGTCCAGGGGTCAACCACAAGTTAGGTTCCTGACTGGTGGTAGTAGGGTCAAGGGAGGTGGTATCCGGTCACCCACACTCTGGTCTGTCCTTTCTTGCACATGGGGCATCTGCTTTATTCTGTGGAAAAGAGGGTTGGGGGACCACCCACTGGGGCGGACTGAGGAGCCTCTGGGCCCAGCTGGCTCTACTTGGGAGCTTGGGTCAGCGATTTGCAAATAAACGTCACTGAGAGTCCAGGGGTTTTTATAGAGTTGCTCACAGGCTACATTTTTTTTTTCCAGGTTTGAAAAGAGTAAGTAGAATGAAGATATTTTAAGGTCAGCAGGCTGGTTTTGGCTCCTGCAGCCTGGCTAAGTTGGAAGCTCATTTCGTAGGCTGGCACTGTAATGCTCTGCCTGCCTGTGACTTGCTCCCTCCAGGGTTGTGCAGAATATTCCCAAGCTGCAGCCAAGCATAGATACTGTCCTGTCGTGAGGGGGCAAAGCCATTCTAACCATGAGCTCGGGTGTCTAAGCATCCATCCATGGAGGACTACCTCGGGGGTCTCAAGGTCAGGCCCCTCCTGTCTTGAGCAGATCAAGGCCACTCACATCTGCTCTGCATTTTGTATGTCATAACAGATCTTTGAACAAGGGCTCCTTGGCTAGAAGACCTAGGGAACCAAGCTGAGTGGTGGGGATGGGGGCCTTTTGGGCACTGATGGTCAATTCTTTATCTTTTTTTTTCCTCCTTTGCAGCCTTTTGAGAATGAGACAAGAGGGCTGCTCCTGAGAGGCAACGATGGCCTTAACTGGACTTGAGCATTCATTCAGGGCTGGACAGCGG